CCAAGGAGAAATGAGCTGACTCAACCCCTTGGTAGGAAGAAGTGAAGAAGCGAACAACATGGTACTACAAAAACATGTTCAAGAGAGCTTCTGCCACTAAGGATCTCGTATTAAAAAAGGCTGACCCAATCACACAAAGGCAAGCTATGGGAAAGCTTAAATAGATGTGGGTCATTAATCATCGACAAATGAGTTGTCCTCGAAGCATACAAGCTAAAAACCTAACAAAAAAAATAAATTTCTCAAATATAGAGCAGAGATGAATCAAAGACATTTTATTCTCAGAGAAGTTTTTTTATCTTGCTAATGAGAATGTGTATCATTCAAACACTTGTATTTTATTACCAATTACATAAAAATTATTTAAGTAATAGTTAGTTAATTGTATATACGATTCCAGGACTAACCGACAGTGAAGAAATTTGAGAAATTCATGCAAGGGATTGTCAACATTCGACAAAGACTAAGAGAACTGAAACTGATGTAAGCGATCAAAAAAATTGTGATTGCTATTGTCTGATTGGTAAAAATTTTCTAAATGACCAACAACAACGAATAACATTTAATTGAAAAAACATGCAAGAACCGACACACAATGGGCAAGCATCAATAAAACTCATGTCTCCTAGCTCGAAGCGAGCCAAGCTTTGGCTGCAATTTTTTACCCATTAGCAACAAGATCTGTGGTGGGTAATATACGAATCACCAAGTAGTAATTCAAGATGATTACCCCTACAAGGACTATGATGAGATCTGCTTAATATGCATAGTGTAAGGTGCGTCCCGACCAAGGCAACGACTTAACTGAGTGAGTGAAACATGTGAGGTACATGACTTGAGTCGGGTGGTAACATGAACCCTCTATAATCATCCTCATCCATTTAAATTCAACAGTATTTTTCATCAATTAGCCTTTCAGCTCGTGAAACAACCCAATGTAGATTCCCATTTGTCGATTGAATCCCCCTCACTACCAAAACTACTCGATGCAGGTATTTAAAATAAAAAGAATGAATTTAAAGGTATGACAACAACACAAAGAAAAATATTTTCCTCTTTTTATAAATCAAATCAAGCTTATAGAAAATAAGCCATGAAAGATTAAAAACACATGCAATTATGAATCATCATAAAAAAGATCAAGGCATTTTTTCCTAATATCTTCTGGGCCAATGTAGCTAGATCAGGAGAGTTTGTCCTGGATAAATCTCGTGCCTGCAAAAATAACAAATTATCATTAAGATGTTTCTATCATTGTTACATCTAGAGCAGACTAGCTTGGATTCATACATGTCTTGATGCATTCTGAGATCCAGCTTGCTCTTCCAATGCATCAACACAGTCCTTTAGCATAGAGACATCTTCCTCCAAAGTTATGATCTAGTCTCACATCTCTGACGCTTTAGCTTTCACCTACACAGAAGCAACACCCAACTCCAATCTTTTGGCAATATATGAGATTGCCAATTTATTTATCCCAAACTCTCCATGAGTAGTGACCAATTCATATAATAAATCAACAACACCCTTCGAGAGAATCATTCGGTGGATAGGAGATGATTATGTCGACAACCATAAATCACTAACATCTTTTGGAAAATTATTCACAAGGATTGGGTTGGTCTGCACTAGAATCTTCTTGTCCGCGCCTTCGTCCTCCAAAGCTTAGGGCACAATGAAAAACTATGGTAGCTGATGAAACTTCTCTCAAATCGAAACCATTAACAATAGAATTTTGCACCAGAAGAGCATGCACAATGTCCTAATCAAGTAACTATAAGTCATCAGTCTCCAATAGCTTACTCTGATCTGAACTAATGAAGAGAAGTGAAGAAATCAAAAACAACATGCCCACACATCTATTTATGGAATTTCATATATGTATGCTCCGGTGCACACATCTCACAAAAAAATAAAGCATGTTGTAAGATGAAAATAAACCTAAAATTTTTCTTTCATTCAAGATTTAAAATTTATAATATTTCCTAGCATTTTCTTACAAGTATTTAAAAACAAAAAAGAAATTTTTTCTAAGTTACAGATGAAGTTGAGGGAAAGTCATACATTCGATGAACCTCCATCTTTTTCACCATTATTTTCTTCTTCCCTTTCCCTTGAGTCTGAAAGCAAGGCGACAAACTTCTCCATATCAGCCCACTTAAGGAAGACCAACAGTGCCTTCAATGGAACCGATTACACATGTCTCCGAAAGCCACTCTACTTCCTCCTGAGTTATCGACGATCGGTCATTTAACGCGACCAATGTGAAGGCCTTTAGAGAATACTTCAGAGCCATCAAGCAGAGCGTAAAGGGAAAAAATTGAGGGAATGAGAAAAATGAGCGGAGAAAAGACAGAGTAAAAGTGCATCACCATCAAACCCCTCACCCTTATATATACAAGGAAACGTAAGAAACAGAGCCATCACCCAGACATAAAAATGAAATTTTACAGTAATTTCAAAAACACGCAAACAGATAGATCACATCAGAATACGACTCAAAGTATAAATAAATTTTATTACGAAAATAGACATTACAAATTGTAAAAAATACTTGAAAAATAGAATGAGAGGAAATACTTTATAATAGGGTAGGTCGCCACTTCGACCAAGACATATCCCTGTAGAAGCAGCATCTAAAACAAAACTTCTCCCCCAAACTTAGACTAGTTCACCAGATCTGTCTCAACTTAAGCCTGAAGTAAGATTGATCTCTCCCGGACATTCGATAGTTCCTAGCAAAGAGTGTCATCTCCTTCTCCACCCTCTCCACTTTCTCCACATGAGTAATCATCTTGCATATCTTCTCACCTTGAAAGATTCCAGTCAACCAAGTGAAGAAGCTCTCAATCTTTTCTAGGCTTGATTGTGGGGATATTTGACATACATCAATTACATGTCTCAAAAGTCAGCCGCCCTTGGCTGGTGCCGCGGTTAGGTTTCACCAATGTTTCTTGGAGGTGAGTCATCACCAAGGACTATCAGAACCAGGTCAATCGCACCAAAAGACAACGTAAATAAGAGGGAACCCAGAAAAAAATCAAATCTAACAAGTAAGATCAGGATTCCTTATACCAAAGATTATATCCAACTCAGATGATGTGACACAACACACTTCCTGAACCCTTGATGATAACAAAGTGCCATTAGCTTCTTGCATCTGGGGAAGTGGCTAGTCACTGAAAACTTATTGTGTGGCCCCTTCATTGATGAGTCTTATGACGCAGTAGAAGGATGAGCTGATGAACAGATAGTCGGATCGGTCGCCTGAGTGTTCCACCCCTAAGTGTCTAGGAATAAATCAGGCAAGTTCAATTATTACATCATTGATTAATAATAAATGTGATCAATTTTTGTATTAAATTATCTTACATTTATCGTTGCGTCACTTTCAAGAAGTAAAAGAATAAGTGAACAAAAATATCTACATAAAAAATATGTCAATGTTGTTCTGAGAAGATCTAACGGTCTAAAGAAAAAGTGTACAATGAGAGAATGCCCGTTGACAGAAAACGTAACGCCCACTTATGCAACCAAGTGTAGTCTTTCAAGCCAAACTCAGTGCGTTCAAAGCTGACTGAGCCACATGATGACAAAAAGATGACCAAAAGATTCGAGCTCGGCCTGTTCAGTTAGAAATAAGATAACAAGTCATCCGAGGAAACCAATATGTAGAAGCCAACCTGAAGGAAGACTAAGTCACTTAACAGCTTCAATCATATCAAAAATGTCCAGAAGACCTCTCTTCTATCATTGAAGGTCAACAGTTATACAAGATCATATGACCAACAACACTGACCAAGTATAGCTGATCAAACCATTCCAACCGACCGAAACTCAATCAAGCTCAGCCGACTGAGCCAGAGAGAAACTGAGCAATGGTGTTATACATGTAAAACACCAAAAATAGCTTATACAAACCCTTTAAAGTAGGGAGAAAGGTAGCATCATTGCATTATAGGATCTCCCATATAAATAGAGAGATCATTAATGGTAAGTAACAATTGATACTATATTTTAATTTTCACTCATCTCTCTCTCTCCTCCACCTCCTTACTTATACTCTATTCCATAAGTGTGATTCACAGACAAATCAGGATTCAATAATATCACACGTATGGAGTTAGCTTTGCTATCAACCAAAATCACTTAAACATCGAGTCTTCTTTAATGCACTAAAAATTAGCACTTTAAGGGGGTGTTTGACAGCATTTTTTATTAGGATTTAACACCAGATAAATGAAATCCAACCAAAAAAAAAAAGTATCATTGATTTATGAATTTTCGTCTTTAATGTCCAAATTTCTTCTTTGATTCGGCTTAAATTTGGATTTACTAAATTCAAGAAGAACGATTTACAAAATTAATAAATCTTACTGAAGAAATTGACAAAAAAACGTTTTCTATAAGTGTGAAACCTATAAATATACGGGCGGTGGATACGTCTCTTTTAAAGCATATTATTTTAAAAAAACTTTTCTAATAATAGATACATCAACGAGTTCTGCATGGCAATGAATTACCATTTACTTGTCCAAATAGAATTCTAGCATTGAAGAGAATATTAGAGGACTGGATGCTTATACGTAAACTAATTCCTCCATATACTGAAAACATAATCTAGTATTTTAGAACTTCCTGTATTAACAAATAGAGCACTTCTGGCCTAAGCATAGAAAATGATAATTATGTGATAACATGTTATTCAACTTTTTTTGTATACAGCTTGATGAATCCAAAAGTGTCCAGAAAATATATCCAAGGAATATAACGTTCTGCCTGAAATTTACGAGAGATAGTGTGTGTGTGTGTGTGAGCACAGGAGGAGACGATAAAGAGAATGTCATTTATTCATGACATGAACTTCTATTTATAACCATATGTCCCAGCATTACAAAAGCATATATTAGCCCCCTCATTATTAATTTTTCAGGGAGAATTTTTATTAATTACAGAGTTATTCGTATATAATAATAAAACCAGGGACTGATCCGATTGATAAAAATTTTCAATCGTCGAGTAAGCATTGACTTGATCGATATCTAATCCAAACGAGAGCCTCCTGTCGATCATCTTGAGGACCAATCCTCGTCCTGCAGAACATCTCCCGACACATTTCGGTGATCGCTCGAACAAAACGTCTCTCTTGCCAACATCCAGTCCCAGACGGCCGTCAACATGTATGCCTGATCGTTAGCATGATTCTCCAAAACTGTTTATCTTTCTTGAAATTCGTGCTGATATATTTTCATACGTACACGATTTAATGAAATTTTATCGTATTTCTCTGATTAATTCATGAAGATCTTTCTCTGATAGCACACATAATACAGCTTTTCTAGCCTTAGTGGCAACGAGCACAAAAATTTAAACTTTACTTGAAACTGACAATATTGTGAAAATTTATGAAAAGAGAGAAAATTAAAGATCTTTTACATACATACTAAATATCTCTTATGTATCATTTTTTTTTTTTTTGCAAGTGAAGTAGGACTTTTCATGCCAAGTTTTATGGCACCAATGTCTTACAAATGTAAATATCAAACTTTAAGTATTAGATATCTAAATACATAAGAATTATGTGGAATGTATGTAAATTTTCCTCAGAATAGAAAAATTTTTAATGCTGATCCGCCTAAATAACCATCATAAGAAACATCATAATTATAATCACCACTGATATTAGCAGTAACTATATTTGTATAACTTTCTAGCACAATAACGTTTTAGTAAAGCCAGAAAGGAAACAATAGCTTAACGTACATTGTATTTTTTTTTTATTAATTTTGATTTTATGTTTTCATTGATCTATAACAACACCAATATTTGACTGCCATAAATGTCTAGTGCAAAAATAAACTTAGTTTTAATGAAAATGTTATGCCATGAAGTGCTGCAAACGAGAACTTTGGGCAGATTATATATCCACCCTCCTGCAACATGAGCATTGGTTCCCGTACCAGCAAAATCAACATATTTTTAATATTATATATATATATATATATAAATATATGATGAACTTGTCCTTCGTCAAGATCGACGTATCTTAAAAATTAACTTACTAGCTGTCATAAGATTTGATTTTTGTTCACAGCTATCTCGTACATGGAACTTCTTTAATTCGCACATATGAGGTTATAGAAATTCATGGATTGAAAATCTGTTGATTTTGTTTGTGCAGAAGCACTTCATATACGAAAGCAACCCAAAGTAGAACAAATTATATACGGAATTCTTTCCAAACTGCACGAGAATATATCATAATCAAAAGAAAATATTAAGCCATCGTTCAGGCTTGTAGATTGCAAACAAAGGCATGAATCGTACCACGCCGCTATTAGATGCAGTGTGATGCAATCCACACTATCATCTGCACATATCAATATATTTACCGGACTTAAATATATTTTTTATATTGAGTTAATCATTATACGACATGATGTGAAAGTGTTAAAAATATATCGAAATATCAAATTGAAGAAATCATGACAGTATCTACTTTGTAGTATATAGCATCCAAATGATTTTTAAAATGATTTATCAATTTATGAGCTTCAGAAACAAAGTTCATCTTCATGGGGGAAATGAAAACCCAACAATGGGTTCCATCTCCCAGTCTTTCTGGGAAAAAAAAATAATTAGTTAACGAACTCTTAATCATAGATGTACAAAATATTTAATAAAAATAGCGGAATAAGATAGTCAAATTTCATTTAAACAATAGAATTATACTTCGTTTAAAGCTTTTGTAACTCCTAATATTCTTTAAATTAAGCAACATCTGCACAATTTTTCCTCCAGTCAAGAATAGGCATGCAGTAGCAAAAAGACAACAGCTAAATTATTAACATTATCCTTCTTTTACTGAATGAATTAATGCTAATGGCATGTACTTGTATGTAACACAAGACTTTAAGGCTTATGCCACACAATTACAATAAGAAAAAAAATGCAACCATAATTAGGCTTCTACAAGTTCAGTTTAATTTCTTCCGTAAAAAGTTAAGTGCCTAATTATCTACAGTAAAATAACTATCTCCTAACAATGAAGAATTAACTCTTTCTCCATTTGTTCCTTTCCCTTTCACTTTCTCTGCGTGCATTAATTGTTTAAGATAATTATGCTCGCATTCTTTTTTATATCTTTTAAGAACTTTTCAGGTGCGCAGAAGCATACAGCCTTAATAGAAAAATGTCATGGCCTCCTGATCCTTATATAGATAGCTCTACATCTCCCATAACTAATTAGACCCCATCATATATAGCATAGTACAGTAAGCATAAATCCAAAACATACAAAAGGTAAAAAAATAGTCAAATAGCTTACCGTATCACAAATCCCCGTAAATCAGAGAATATGTATATCTCAATTAATTCTTATATGTTCAGCTACAGCCTACTAGCAACCTATGCAAATATAGCATGAATTCCTTTATAAAAAAGAATTAATGAGAAATACTAAGCCATGCAGGGATATATAACAACCCCAAGCAAAGAAGATGAGAAAAACACAAAGAAATTAACTGGTTCAAGCATAGATGGCTAACCTCTCCACTGCAAGCATTGTTCATGGCAAGCCATTTCCTTCAAGATCTTACGTACTCTTCTCCTTAGATTAATTCCTGAAACACATCCTCCCAGCTTCAAACACAGAGCATTCCGGACATATAAAATGAATAAATCTATAGAATAATTAAGAGAAATATGTCAAGAATAACACATTGGAGAGTGCAGTATTTACAATTGAAACAAGGGATTCATGGAAGAGAAACTGATCTAACTAGTTACATTCTTCTATTCATTCATTTCTTCCACAACAAATACTCGAACTTGAAATCATAATTAAGTTATAGTCAGCACTATTGCTTTTTCGAAAGCAAATAAACAGTAGGCAAGCAGGCAAGCAAGCAAAAAAAGAAAGAATTAATAATCCCCTCTAGCGCCAGTCACATGTCGAGATCCAATGACGGGGAATTAATGATAAGCCCATCCTTTCCTCCCCGGGATGATGAAGATGAAGAAGACGACCGAACCACAGCGTCCCCGCCCCCGGCACCAAGTCGTAGCTCAGGCGAGGGCAGATCAGGAGCCCGTAGCTGAAGCTGAAGAAACCCTGCCGAGCCGTCGATATCATCACCTCCTTCATGCTGCTGCTCAAGGTTAACGCCAAAAAGTCTAACACTCTTGGGCTTTCCAGAGGGCTTGGCTTGGCCCACCGGAAAGGAGTCGAGCACCATGGGTAGACTTGGACGGCTGGGCTGAGGAGAACGGAAGTACAAATAGTTGGAAGCTAAAGTGGGGGCGAAAAAGCGGCTGGTAGCCCAAGGGACGGTGGATGAGCGGGGAAAGGGAAGATAAGGGTGATGCGAGGATGTGGGGTGGTAAGCGAAGCGTGGGATCCGAAGAGATGCGGGGGAGTCGAAGTGCGGGTCGGGCCTCCTTTTCCAATCAATGAAAAGTCTATCTCTTGCGGCCTCACCGACACCCCGGCCAAACGAAACCGTGTCACCCGCATCAAGCCGCTTCTCCTTCACAAACCGGCTCCAGCCCTTGGTCATGACGTAGCTTTGACTAGAGTTCCAATAAGAGTAGCGGAATCGCCATGGCTTGCCGTTTCGATCTTCAAAGTTGAGGAGAAGGCCCTTGTCTTGGGTAGAAGAGTCTAGAGGGAAGTATTTTTCGGCGTGCTGTTTCGGTATAACGAGACGGTTAAGTTTACCGACGTCGCTTGGGGTGACGACTTTCTCGAACATATGCTCCTTTTCGACCGTTGGAGCCGGTTCGGTTGCGGAGGAAGGGGATGGTTCGGGGACGTCGGTCCAGTGGAGAAGGAAGGCGGAGGAGGAAGGGGAGTGGGAAGTGGAGGAGACGGGGGGGAGGAACTGATGCTCCTCTTCTTCCTCTTCCCCGAAGCACTTGCTGCTGTCTTTTGTTGCTTGGGTGAGCTCCATATATGCTTAGATCTGTGATGCAGAAGGAAGAGTTCGAAATTCTGCGACTCGGCAGGAGAATTAGCCTGTTGATTTTGGTTTGACGAGTGGGGGTGGATGATTCAACGTTGGACGTCACTCCTGGCCTCCACTGCCAACCAAAGAAGCTTCCCCGTAGAACAAAGGGGAAGGGATTCAGAGCAGAGGTGAATTTAGTTCATAAGAAGAGAGGTGCAGAGGAGATGGGAAGAGAGAGAGAGAGAGAGAGAGAGGGAGGTGGGGGTGAGAGGGAGGGGTGGGCGGGCCCATGAATGTTCTGGTTGGGTTCATGTGACCTTGTCCTGTTCATGATATGGGTATTTATATATAGGGGTTGGGATGAGGCCGCCAAAAAGGGAGTTGCTGTGTAGAAAGGAGGAACATGAGATTTGTCATTGGAGTTACTGATTTGTTGCAATGTGACGGAAGAAGCATAGTATCCCCCATACACTGTATTTATTTTATTAATTTTTTAGGGGCATATTCCCTCTCTATTCTTTGCGCTTTAGAATAACTTAAGTTGGTTGGAGGTGATGCCTAATCTCTAGCTGACAAAAGCTCAATAAATACCAAATTAATGGGGCTTATGTTGCAAATATTTTATATTATTTTATTTAAAATAAATAAATAAACTATTAAAAAACGTATTAGATTTTAAAATGAATTTTGTTGAAGGAATTATTTTTATTTTTATTTTTTTATCTTGAATATAGTTTAATGAATGATGTTAATGAAGTTGCTATTGAAATTGATGAATTGAAGTTGTTTTTAATGCAGTATTAAGTTATTTAAACAAAATTCAATTTTTATGATGTCACTTTAATAGATTTAGGTTTGAAACTATTTTAATTCATTTTAATTAACTAATTAGTTGTGATGAAAACTAACACAATGAGATGTACAACTCAAAATTTCTTTGTAATGTGTATGATAATTAAACATTTAACACAACTTGTTCTATATTTTAGATCACTATTTATATTAGAAGTTTCTAAAAAATAAATTTAGATTCAATATTGAGTGTCATATTTTTATTTAATTCAATAACTTAAGATTATTTTTTTATTCAATATGCATAAATCTTTTTTGGTCTACATCTGTCTTTGTTAACAAAAATCAAACCTAAACATAAATTTTTAGAAAATAGCAACATTGCTTCCCACTACCTAAATTTTTAGAAAATAGTAAAATAGCTATTAAATCTTTTTTTGGGACGTAGGATCAAGAACTATTCATGATATCACACAATCCGATGAAAGATCCTAAAATTGTCTTGTATCCAGAGGGAAAAAAATAGAAAAAGGGAAAAAGGTCCCAGCAAGGGAGAGGGACTCCCCCATGCTTTGGGCCTTTCTTACCCATAAAAAGAATTCTTCCACTCACCCTGATGTAAGAGAGGATTTTAATAAGGACAAGACGTCTAACTAGTGAGACAAGTTAATGTCGGTGATCTGATATGAGTCCTTTATTTCTTGATCAACGGATTGCCTTAGAAAGAGTCAAATGCATTTTTTATAAATCAAGCATCACTTCCACTAGAACGAAGTACTTTGGATGACCGAAGATGAAGGGGTCTCGAATGATCGGCAGTTCGGTTCTTTAAGTAAAATGTGGCCTAGATTCGAGACTCGTTATTTCAATATATAATAGCAGTTCCCCAAATGGAGCTATGATGCCAATTTGAAATGCAAAGCAGACAAAAAGTTATCCCAAACAAAACCATAAGTTAAGGGCACATCGAAGGATGGATGAAAAATTAGCGGAGAAATGGGCTATAACTAAATTTTGATTTACGACCTTTCAGGTATTACGATTAACATTCAATACATGTTGTCTATTGGAATCAAATGATTATTTAGTTGGGCAAATGGTAGATTCATTCAAAATAAAAAATAAAAAAATCAAATCCATTATCTCTATAGAGCTTCAGTATTTGTGAACTCTAAATTGGTATTTGTCCACATATATAGTAACCGTGGCTATATTTTTTATATTATCCATCATAGATTTCTGAGAATATGGGACAGTGAGTTCTGCAACATTGAGAAACAGTGAATTTTTAGCTCGCTTGGTTTGGGATGAGAAGAGGGAGTCATCCAAAGCGTGTTGTAAGGTAACATGGTGTTGAAAAATTAGAGCAAAAAAATGTAAGAATCAACATAACAATCAAGAAAGAAGACAATGATTTAACGGGTTTGGCAATATGCCTAGGTCCTAGGGACCAATGAGTGGCGTCGGCTTTTTGATTTCTTGAAAACAATACATACTTTTAGGGTTACAAATACAACATATATATATAACCCTAATATATGTCATGCAATTACAAAATTATACTATACTGTATAGCGGGGGCGTTGCCCAACACCCCCAACCCATTTAACAAAACTCCACAATCGGACAAATGCTTCCGCTCCGCTACGCTCGCGAGCTCCGCTCCGTTCCAACATATGTTCCTTATCTGATATATGAGTCATATCTAACACATGGTTACCAAGAAGACAAATAATATCAAAGTAATTATATAATGAAATGAACAATGTAAAAAACATAAAACTGCGAAAGCTAGAAATTGGATCACTTTAAAGATAGAGAATGTATTGGAATGCCAATTGCAGCATGTGACAGTTCAAAAGTTTCACCACCAGTTAACAAATAATTTATGCCAATGATAAAAATATATGATTAAATTTCAAAATAAGGAAAATTCAAACATTCACATGGCACATAAATATACATAATTTTATATATAATAAAAAATAATGAAAAGAAATAAAAAGGTTCACCGTACAACTCTATTAAACAATGATTTGGCAGTCTGACCAGACGATACAATCTGATTTTTTAAAACTAATGGGGAGAGAATGATTTATCATCTTCTCCATTATTTCTTTCTTTCTTGCTTTCATTCTAATGAGGAAAATATATTGCTCAGAAAAGCTTTCGATGAATATAAAATGCCCGAATATGTGAATCCCAAATGCACACCTCATACTCTACCTGATAATACAATATTTTATTTTATTTTATTTTAAAAAGCTCTTATATGTTAATGGTTTCAATTAAGAGTTAACTATAATGTATTTTTAATTATATAAAAACCTTTTGCTTTTGTTTGAAGATTTAAATCTGAAGACTTGGACGTTGCATTGACTCGGCCTTGTTGGGATTCTCGGTTTACAAATCGAGCTCACATTTTGTAGGGTGCTCCCTATAAATTTCAAGTTTATTTATTAATCCAGGAGTGTTACATATTTGAGCTGTAACATGGAACGGATATTATTTTAAATTCCTTTCAGCAAACATGGCTTGAATTTTATGAGGATGCGTATAATCAACATTTCATTAAAAATATATATAAAAAAATTGTTTAAAAATTAAAGGAAGATTTGGATATTGTAAGAGAGAATTTTATTCACTAATTTAAGGGTTGAGATTGTCCGAAGAATCTGACGAACTCGACTAAGCTCTGATCGGCCAGGTCTGACCAACTCCAGTCGGCTATTTACAGTCGACTACATAAAACTAAGAGTATAATTTATAATAATTCTTCTCCTATAAATAGAAAACCATTATTTGTAATAGGGAAAATCAAATATGTAAATATTGTATTCTAAAATATCCTTTTATATTTCTATCTCTTTATTTACACTGCAATTACTTCGGCTTGATTTGAGACATTTTTTTACATACATACTTTAAAACATTAAATCACATAAAAAAATTTAATATTATTAATTATTTTTAAAGTTAAAATAAACTTTTTCGTGTATATGCTTTAATATGATTGAGACTAAAGTATTATACAAACAAATATTAAGATTGAGTCATTATGAATAATAAATATATTACCCTTAAAAATAAGAGTTTGAAGGCAAAATGAGAGCAAGGGTGGCCCACACCCCACACAGGTTAAAAGGTAAATCTTTTTATGCTATATATAAAATATTTAAGTAGCTACCTTTTCAATTTAATGTAAATTAATTATTTTCCTTTGCTTCTTCATTCTTCCATCCAAATAATGTCAAATAAAAAAAGACAAATATCTTAAAAATCACTGTTTACATGATGGAGAAAAATGGGGAGAAAAAACAAGACATGAAATTAAATAAAGCTAACAAAATTAAGTAGCTTTAAGTTAAACATAATTAATGGAGTCATTTATATCAGCCACACAATTCTAAGGAGAGGGAGACAAATTCCAATTTAAAAAAAAGGGATGGATCTCACCCAATGTTGGGCAAGTAGCCTATCCTTACTCCATGCCCATGACCACTTGGGTGGTCCAACCATTGCCTCATAACTCCATGATATAATGCTTCGCATGCACATCCACATGCCATTCATGACATCCTTGGATCATTTCTATTGTCTAGATGCTAGCCATATGTTGTAGGGAAATTAATTTACATATATGCCAGTAAACTCTTAGGTATTTATATATCTAACCTCTAAAATTTTATATTTAATTATGTAATACGGCTGTTGTAAAACTAAGCATGAAAAGGTTTATTTAACTTTTAAAAAATTAGTAGTAGCGCCAGGTCAAAAGTTTGAGGGATATATATCCATGTAAATATCTAAATTTAGGTGTTAGAATATATAAGAAGTGTGTGGCATGTATGTAAATGTTTTCTCGTGTATAAAGGCCAAAGATTGCTCTTCTTCTTAGCAAAACTTACTCTAAAGCCTCGATTTATACGTACAGGTACGATGTAAGCTAATCATGGATGTCATGTTTTTTGACATGTAAGGAAAAGTTATAAAAAATACAAGTAGAGTTACATCAATCTTCTTCATCGCCAATCTCCATGAGACGCATGACAAATTTATCTGTTCAATTGGGTGATGAAGTATGTACGATTGAGGAAATATTGCGTTCGGACGTTGCACGCCCGATATCATCATACATCTAATTTGTGGGTGACGTGACATCCCGTGGTTGGTCTTCCAAACGCAATATTTTCTCATGTAGAGTTAGTTGTAGTTAACTATAGGCGTAGTTACATTTCTGTTTACGAAGTATGATTTGCATACATACGAGTCAATTCTTATGTATTTACATATCTGACGTCTAAACTTAAATTATATATATATGCCACATTTCATATGTATGAAAATGTAATTTCAATTTTTAAAAGTTAAAATAATGCGTCTTTTTATGTGAAATTTGAGTGGTACAAATACAAAAATTGAATATTGCCTTAGATTTGAAAATACGTAACTAGAAT